ACACACACACACACACACACACACACACACAGGTGCAACACACCATCATCACAAAAGGTAAAAGATAGAGCCAAGATCAACATCTTGAATATATCTGAACATTCGTAAACCTGAGTTAGAAGTGGTGTTTTATTGTGACGCACAAAAATAAGTCTTATATTTCTCAGGTAGATAAAAATAAAAAAGAGGGTTTAGGTTTCTTGATCACTGTGTGATTTTAACCCCTTTAGCAGCTGACACACAGGGTTTATACTGTGTATGTATAAATCAATTGGATGTGTTGGAGATGCCTGTGGAGCTTGCTCTCTCTCGCTCTCTCTCTCTCTCTCTCTTGCTCCCCCCTCTCTCTCTCTCTCATACACACACACACACACACATAGAGAGAGAGAGTGAGAGTGAGAGCTGTCTTTTCTCCCCCAGTGACAGCAATTGCAAGCCTGTAATTTACCTTCATTTTTAATATTGACTGTAGTTACATGTGCGGCAAAATTAAAGAGCAAGGCAATGATTGTTTCATTATTCATCAACTGAATGAAAACTGCATAATCCAAAAGAAGAAAAACATAATTAGAATAGCTAAGTCATAAAAAAACATCTTTGCCTGTTTTGTTGATATAGTTAAAATGATGTGGCTCTGTGTGGCTCTCTCTCCTCCTTTATAAGAAGCTGCCTTGTGCAGGTCATAACTCCACTTTAGATGAATTATTATGAGTCCATTAGTCATTAATTAATCATCACCCCTTATTATTATACAGTGGATCAAACCTGTCTATTATAAAAGCTGCCTCCCCAGTGTTTTCCTCCTGCTGCACAGTCAAAGACACGGTAGGAAAAGAGGAGGTCATGGAAATGCTGTGATAATATATTGTTAGGAAGTGTGTGATTATTTACAGCCTGTGCATGCAGTTGCATGACTTCAGAGCATCACTTGTGTTTTTGCGCAGCTCAGATTGATGTTATGTGCGTAAACTACGGAGGCGGCGGCGGCGGCGGCACTGCTTCCGCGTGAAGACTCAATGGCTGCTATTCTTGACAGTTACTGCTGGAGTGAGTGTCTCTCAGGGTGACAATGGATGTATTATCTGTGGTATAATGAGCAAAGATGTTCACCATTGTTTAAGTTTTGTATTTGTATATTTATTTTCTTTGTGCGTGGCTCTCACTTGTTTCCACTGCTCGGCCGTCAATTGCTGGGATTTTCTCTGGCAATGAGTTTCTGAGCCAAACTGTCCGTCATTTGCCTTGACAACACAGACTCCAGAGGGGCTTTGGGGAGTAGACGACTAGATGCATACCTTCTAGGTCATAGCAATGTCTACACTTTGTTACACGTAGTTGTTGGGGGGGGGGTTGTTTTTTTTTACATCAAATCCACTTGAAAGCTTGTTAAAGATTAAAATGGAAAGTGACAGCTTGATCCATTCAGTCCATATGCCCCTAAAGGCCACTTACATAATAAAACTGCTGGCCACTGATGAGGCTTTAACTTCCGTTTAGATGCCATGACAGCTATAGTTGTTATCGTCAGTGACACTACAGCATAATTTACTTAGAGTTATGGCTTGGATCTCCTCAGGCTGATGTGGTATAATGAAGTCTCAGGGAATATAGAGGTCAAAATGTGCATTTGATTTAATTACGTGACTGTCAGTGTCACCACAAGAGGGGATGGTTAATACCAACCTTTCATTTTGGAAACTCAGGAGGAATGTAATAAATTAAATGCATTCCCCTAATTTTTTCCGAGACAAAGAAACCCCTCTCTCCTTCTCCTCGTCTTTTTCTCGTTCTCTGGTCTGTCCCAGCCCCTTTGAAACACTCAACAGCTCTCTAAAGGATGAAGCTTTCACGCTCAGACAGACACTTAGAGAAGAGCTCGACAACAATAGACTAATGACTTAGAAAGGTGTGTTTCTGAAAACCGCACAAAGACCAATCTCAGGTCTGTTTGAAGCTGCCAATGATCGACTGCTGCAGAACAGTGTAAATCTTGTTACTCTACTGATCTGCTACGGTATCTCTGGCCGTTTTTTGTCTGATATATACTTGAATGAGATGTGGGAAAAACAGTTAAGCTCTTGAAGTCACATTGAAAAACATATCTGTGACTCTGAAGTGTTATCCTGATTGGACATTGCTTAATAGAGATTCTAGGGAGGAATTGTTTTATATGCACCTCTACCACAGTTGTGTCAGGGGAGGAAGAGACCAGACTGCCGTCATGGATGAATGCGTATATATTGCTCTACATGTTTAGCTGCGTTAAGGCCAATACACAAAAGGTCCTTTTTTTTTCTTGGCTTTGTAAAATTGCATTTACCTGTATTTACCAGCTCCTTTTCGTCTGCTGTTACCATAGAGACACTCCCTTTCTATCAGCAAGGCTGCTTTGGCTGCCGGGCTCATTGGCTCTCACAGGAGAGAGACACTGGTGTGCAAGTGTTTCCCTGGCACGACTTTGACACCAATGTAGCGAAAAAGGCATTTACTTGGCTTTGACAGTGTTTCCTTGGCAGCCGGCGCCCCACCGACGGTGGCACGTCGACCCATTTTTGTCACTGTGGGCTGACAGCTGAGGCAGAGTGAAATCCAGTTGGGAGTGATCCTCTCCTGTAATTGAAATGAGTTCACCTGGGAGACAGCTGCTCTGCGGTGCCTGTTAGCTGTCAGCACTTCTTGCTCACTAGGCTGCATGTAGTGTGTAGTGTGATGCTTGAGCAGAGCTGTTTTTGTGTGTCTGATGCACCGTAGTTTGAAGTTATAAAACACGTTTCCCTGTTCAGTGCAGCAACCAAACATGCCTCAGCTATTTCTGCTGCTCTGCCTCTTAAAGAAATCGAGACGAGAGCATGACACTGTTGAACAGAATCACGCAGCGGAGCGTAAATGGTGAACACTTCTCCTCAGATGCTGTAGCCTCTAATGTTCAGCGACAAAATGCATTTAAAGGTGATTTGTTGGAACTGGAACACTGGATAAAATCAACAGAATGAGAATATTTAATGGTGAAAATACTGGAATCAAAACTCTTCTATAACTAATTAACCTGTTTGCCTTGGCTTTGGTCTAATTACAAATCAGACACTGTAAATAAAGATGAACAACATGTCTCCACTTCCACCCCTCATAAATGAGGCCAAAATAAGCTAGATACGGGTGCAGCCATATTGTGCGTTGGACATCATTGGTGCCAGAGTCTGCGCAGTAATGAGTTGAGCGGTGGTATCAAGCTCCCACTGATACATGCTCTTGACTAATTGTGAGTCCATCTCAGCCATCAATCATGATATTTCACCCTGTTTTTGTGGCATCGAATAACAAATTAAAGCCAAACTTGCCAAAAAACATAGCACAAACATAAGGTGTACGTGAAACATCTTTTGAAAACATTTATTTTCCTTGTACTTTGGGTTTTTTAGTTTGTCCATTTTCCCTTCTGCTAACATGGAGGACTCAAGGTCTACAACCTATACTGAAGCCAGCCACCAGGGGGTGATCAAAATATTTATGGCTTCCTTTTAGCAAGATGTCATGCCTGTTATCTTTGTTGGAACCCTGCAAGATTTTTTTAACAACCAAAAGCCAATCAAATCTTTCAGTTCTATTAAGTAAATTACAAATAAAATGTTGAAACCCATAACGTAGTAACTCTCAATGGGCTCTTCAATCAAAACCTTAATTAATTGACTTTTATCAGGGTCCTTGAGCCCGTGGTCAATCATCTGGACCAGAGCAGTAACCAGGGCTGAAAGCATGTTGAGAGCAAGTGGTTGTTCACCATGTAGTCATAGATCTGGTCAAATGTCTGCCAGTAATCAGACATCTATTGGAAACTTGAGTTAGCAGAGGAGTTGCAGTTCTCAGTGATGTTGTATCTAAATAGTTCTAGGCCAGGAGATGACTCCTTAGAGAATGATGAAAGCAATGTCCACTTTGATGATATTGCGAAAATTGAATTCAAAGAAACTGTTTATCTCCAATATTTTTTTCCGTTTGATTAGAGAACATGACAGTGATGGATCACTGCAATTAATTCTTGAGCTTAAATTCTGCATCTGATTAAAGAGGTTGTTGAAAGAATTGGTAAATCCAAATTTAGCAATGACGGACTCATCTGATACAATATATGATACCTGGATTAATGCTTTTAATCCTGCGTGTTTTCTTGCTGTTATTGCTGTTATTGATAGCTCTTCAGGGTTTATGTCGATAATATAGTTTATTTTTGTATGTATTCATTTGTTTTTGAATCTATTATTAGTGCAATTAGAGTCACTTCACCCTTAGGGTATTGAGACATATTTGGAGCATAAGTTAGGTACAATAGTACTACATGTGGACATATTAAGGAAGGGTGACAATCAGGTCAAATTACACATATTTGGTCCATTCCTCAACTGTCATGCAGTCAATATTAAAGTCTTCCAACAAAAATATATACTCTTCCTTTCATTGGCAGATGAAGAACAAATAACATCATGATGTCAGTAACAGTAGGTTATAAGGTTAAAAGCTGGAATCATCGATAAATAAATCATTGTTAGAAACTGATGAATCTAAAGTTAGACCTATAGCATAATTATTATATATCAGTATATGATCAAAACCTATGAGACAACCGTTTGGCTAAAGTTGAATATTTATATGCACTTCCCCCACCTTTGATTCACCATCTAACTGTCATTTTGGAAAATATAGGAAATCAATATGTGAATTTGTCATTATGGAAATTCCAACAGGTGCTCTCAGTTTGTAAAAGACTCTTTGATCATATCTATGAGCAAAGGAGTATTGACACTTCAGTCTACTTGAATAAAGTGTGGATACAAGTAGATAACAGATGTCAGCCTCCTGGATTGATGGCATACTGTCCTTTGGCTCAGCCAATGACGCAACCTGTTCCATGACTATCTGGCTCACTCCGAGCTGGAAAGCCAACTGCGTGCAGCTCTCTGAATGACAGCAGTCATACAAGCCAGTATGTTGAATTTCTCTGCATCTATTTGGTGCAAGTGCTGTGATTCAAATCCGGCGACCTTTAACAGGGTTGTCTTAAAAAAATAAAAAACGAATCAACATTTCCTTTAAAATCAGCTCAGAATGTTTTTGCACACCAAGATAATTGTCCTCTATTACAGTTTGTTAATAACAGTGACTATTTTGTCTTTTGCTAGAAGAAAAAGTCAGAACAAGCTCTCAGCCCACGGTTCATCTCTTCTTTTTCCACACAGACTTAGACATTGGCTGTCAACTATTGAAAAGAGGGTCTGACTCTCTGAGTCTGTCTGACTGTCCTCGGAAACAACTTCTCCATCAATCAAACCCTCACTCTTGTGTCCTTGTCAGGTCTTTCTCTCTATATTTGAGTGTTCTGTTCTGTCTCTTCCTCCTTTACCGTGTTTCTGTCGGACCATTGGAGCCTCACAAAAGACTCAAGTCATGCAGGTGGAGCCAGTATTACAGTCCTATTTCTAAGAAAATGCAGTAAAATGGAGAAATAGGGACCAAAGTGATAGATTGCTGTTAAAGAGATGCTTTGATTTGACTTCACTCTCTCCCTCAGTTGCTAGGCAGATGTGTGACTGAGTGTTTCGCTGTAAAAACTGCTGTCATTTAAGCAATCGATAACCTTGCAATCAGATTTTTGAAACTGAAACTCGCACTGTGAACTTCCCTTCTTCCATGTAGCCTTGAAATGTTCTGTTGCACTTGAAAACTGTGGCGGCTCATAAATGTATTCTGTTCCTGTGAGGATTTTGTGACTTCAATATTGATCCACAGGTATTTATAGATGCCCAACCTTCTGTCAAGATTTAAAGGATTAACTCCTAATAAAGGGAATATAGTGGAGGAACATAATGAAGTTCTGTGACTGACTTTTGACAAAAAAATTTAAAATAATAATAATGTTGACGGTTAATATGTGGATCTTAATATAAAATATACTCTCATGAAACCGTTTTGGATTTTGGATTCCTGTTCTTAGAGACTGCAGAGTCAGCTGTTGGCAAATATAAAATCATGTTGCTATTGCAAGGAAATAGTAAAGTTTGACATGTCCTTTACCTTTTTTCTTTACATTTATCCTGGGGGAAATGCTGACATGCACAGTTTACTGAAATAGCTTTGGTTTATTTTATTCTTCGGCTCTTCTTCTAGTGGGGAGTAGAGACGGAGCACAATACTGTTATCGTGTCACATTATTGAGTTATACTTTAAAGTCACCATGAAGACATATTGAGAGTTTACTTCATGGCAGCAAGGCCTACTTCGTCTGAAGGAATTGCTTAGCAACATAGTGCCAATCTCTCTCAGGTCGTCAAGCAGACTCATTTTTTAAATATGGTATTTCACAGTTACGATAAGTAGTCAAGAAAAGTATACCTTCCTCTACAAATGGTTGCAAAACATTCAGTTAAAGCTTGCCTAAATTTAGAAGCAGCCTTACAAAAAACTATGCAAGAAAGTAATGATTTCATCTATTTGTTAAATGTATATATGTGCCTGTATCCCCAT